CATAGGGACGTTCCTGAATTCCGCAATGCGACCGAGCACTTCGATTCAATCAGTCCACTGAAAAATCTAAATCCTAATTCAATAATTAATATGACCCGTTGCACATGAGGTGGCTATGGTGGTCTAGTGGATTACGCTTTGGCGTTTGAAACTATGATCAGTGAATTAGAGCCTCGGTGGCAACATCACCGCTCACTGAGGAATGCATCCAGCTGACGAACGACTCGCAAATAGGATGAAATGCTCACCTTAGTGGATTCCACTGCTAATCACCATCCACCAATCAACTTCGAAGTACACATAAACGTCTACCACAGTAAACTTAGTTCACTCTACTGGTATTGCAAACTCATCAGATAGGTGTAACAGCATCCGCAGTTTCTAATGATGTGCCCACCAAGACTTCAGACTGACAGAGCATTATCTACTAAGCCAATAAAACAATGAGGACTATATCTTGTACAAAACGTATCATTTTCTATTTTGCCCAAGTTTGTATTCTCCGTCGACTGGTCAGTTAGGATGTTCGACCATTGGTGACATTTCGGTATCTAGTACGGACACTCCTGCAACATCTGATAGTTAATAGCAATGGGTTATGGGTTCGAGTCCCGTTTATAATGATATCACTTACTGAGAAGCACGTAAATTCAAATGATGAATCTCCAGTAGAATGAGGTGTACTTCTTGAATTCCACTGATAATCACCATTATTCCCGGAATAGCATCATATTAACCATTAAAATCGTCGAAGATTTCGTACTTAGAGAAGACATGTCAAAAGATAGCAAATATTTCTGTTCACTCTGTCATGAGTAACTCTCACGCCCACATTAAATCAGAGTGATAAACATGTGGTTCGAAGAAGAGGCATATATTCGATAAATTAATTTTTAGTACTCATGGACAGTACGCACCAACGATGGGTTCGAATTTAGGACGTTCCAGTAAATGCTCAAGGCACGTCATGATGGACTTTGGCTTCGAGTATTTTACTTAGGTTCAAATCACAATCCTGGCTTACCTCAAAATCTTATTGCGCAGTGATTCGCTCAAAAGGAGGCCTGATGGTTCTCTTTACAATCCACTCAGCAGGAATAAAACACAGGTTACTCAGCCCGCGCATCTTCACAGCTCGTTCCGTTTGAACAGAAATAAAAACCTAACACGTTCCTTGTTCCCAGTAAATCAAAGGATAAGCTTCAGTGGTAATACCGAATATGAAATGGCGAAAATTCAGCATTCAACATGGATACGTGGAAAAATTCATCAGTGAAAATATGGCATTAACATAACGATCAAAATTAATCTGACCAGTTCTGAATAAATCGGTATTTATTAGTGCGGAGTCTAAAGGGGGATTCTGCTACTAAACTTCTTAGGAACCACACATCCTTATTGTCTAGTGAAGCATAAATTCTGCTGAGCTACATTCCTTCAATCAAAAGACTATAAGCTATGCGTATATGCTTAAAACAGTTACCTCTATAGGCCTCTGTAATATGTGCTACGCTATATCTCCCGTGTTAAATGGTATAATAGGGTGAGCCATAGCGGGTTTAGGCATCGAGTGCTATGTAAGGAGTGGAAATCAATAGATGAGGCTGTGACGTTACATAGACTTAGATGGTTAGGACGTGTGTTACGTACGCCTAACCACCGCCTTCCTCGACAGTGAGAAATGTTAACTGACATAGGGTCAGTTTGAAAAAAAGGTAGTGGTGGTTAAATCAAAACATGGCTTCATTAGTCAATGAAATCCGCAACAGTTAGTGTAAGTCAGCCACGTAGGAAGGTGTAGACTTCCTGATTGGCGTCCGCGGGATAGGAAACACCAATGAAGGCTGGAGACAATTGGTGATAAGGCTCAAAGTGATCATTCTCAATGACGCAGATGCATCTACTGCTTGTGGCTAATAATTTTTAGTAAAACTATATTGTTTTCGATATTACTATTCTTTTTGCCTTATATCTCTCTTTACTATCTCTCTCTTCGCATTTCCTTTTGCTTTCTTCTTCTCTTGCTTTGTGTGCTACAAGGAGGGACTGTGGTGACTCGAACTGTTGCACATTGGTGCAAAGTTCTCTTTTGAAACCAGCCAGTCAGTCATTCAACAAATTTACTTGCTCCTATGAATTACTTGCTCACTTCTTAGTGAACTAAGTCTGTGCATTTCCACTTGATTCATCTTCTGAAACTATCTGAATAGTGTACAGTTAAGGCGCCAGCAAACTCTAAAGTACAACCCAATCGTTCCAAGGGTTATTCCCTTATTAATTGATTAGATAGTCATCAACAACCAGAAAGTTAATACAATGAAGGGGGGTTAGAGTTGGCATGAAAACTTGGGTCTTATCAAGATTTTTTCGGTCTACTAGTCTTCTACCGTTCTTTCCGCTGAGATGCAAGACCCAGCAACATGAATATGAAGTCAGTCAGTTCTTCTATAAGAGTCAGGAACCTCCTACACGCCGCGTGAAAAGCATTTCTAAGAAGTTGTAGAATTCCGTTAACAGCTGCCTCCATTGACTCCATATTAAGGATCAAATGGCTAAAAAGAGTGAACAATTAGATCCTATAGGAACAAGAACATATTGCTGAACAAATAAGGGAAATTAGAGATAGCTTGAGAGTACGCTAAAGAGATCGTAGAATGACTTCCTGAGCCAGGCCACCACTCCAGTGAAATCCGAATAAGAAAATACGAGTTGGTTGTGAATTCGAAGGTGATACAGAGGAGAAACCTATTGAAGATAACTCGGTTCAGAATTGTTAGTCATCGTATGCGGCGCAGTATTTAATCAACCGGAAATAGTTGGAGGAGTACTCATTGCATTTTATTTCCAACCATATCTATCTACCTATATATCCACGCATATATGCTTTTGTGATTTATTAAAGTGGTAAAACAGGAAGACAGACTACCAAAGGTTTCACTTAAAATATAATATGACATAATGACATATCAGGTTAGCCTGATAAATTGCCTTCATAATCACTAATACATAAATGAATATAATTTGAGTTGACATTGATGTGCAACGATAATCCCGACTAAAAACACATAGGACTGATTTGTGATTTCCTTCTTTCTTCCGCTCCTTTGAGTTCTGAGTATAGCGAAGAGGGTTTTGAGTTTAGACTTTGACGTTTTAGTGAGTATGGTGTTATTTCTTAGCATGGTTGGTATGATTCTCTCACTCTTTCTGCTGGCTAAAGTACTCGTCTGCTGATAATCGAGTCCATATCACATGGATGGCTGATGAACATTCTAACACTGAATTACTGACTAATTCTGATCTGTCACTAGATTTTGGTTAACCCATACTGTTGTCTAGACTACTCACATATTGGTATAAGTATTACATAGAGGTACGTCTTAATGAAGATTGTAGTTATTTACAGTGGAATTAGAAACCTGCTATTAAAGATAGTCAGGAGTACAATCTCAGTCTTGAGAATGAAGAGACGGACACTACTTATACAAAATGAGGGAACACTTTCTCATATAGAGTATAAACAATGCAAAACGTCTGGTTACAAGGTAAGCTCGTATACCATTGAGCCACTGGGACCCGATTCAATGGCCAGACCATGAATTCTATCTTCTGCCAATTCACGACATAGCGCGACCCCAGCCAATGTCTTCGGCAAGTATTCGTCCTCACACCCGACCTGCTGCGCCTTACTGGTCACGACTTCTCACTAGAACCCCAGATAACTACCTACATGAATAGAGCCAGTCGCTAGTGAGCATCTCATTGATATTCAAGTGTTGGTTTGTAGGGATTTGATTGGTTAGTGGATTTTCATCATGAGCTGACATTAATTAGAGAACCATTTGAAAACCTGAGAGTACTGGACAGCTGTTTCGTCCTAGTTTGGGACTTTTGAGATGCTCACTAGCGACTGGTCTTATTCAGGTAGGTAGTTACCTGGGATGCGTTGAATCTCCCTTCATTAGTCTTGTTCCCTACCTATCATCGTTTTCACCTCTCCTACAATGCAAAACCGTTTTTGCCTTATTTGTTCATCGTTGTTATAGTTATTCCCTTGGGTCCCCCAATGAAACACAAGGAATAAAATATACACCTCAATTTCACATCAGAACAAGACATATGAGAGAAGAATATTGTTGTTTTCAATTAGATCTTCTTCAGGCTTACCCTAATTTATATAGATTTACACATAAAAAAATTTTAACCAATGAATTTGATTGTGTGGATCATATAATAATAATAATTATAATGTGGTAAATGTTTTGAACGTCAGTGTAAGATCAATTCTATTCCCATCCTTGAATCAAGGCAACCTGTCCCGGATCAGCCTAGCGTTGTTGCAACCCAATTATCTATGCCTAACGTGTCTATCCCCTCTTGTTTAATGAACTGTGTATATGTGTTTTTACCTCGATCCGTTTAGTCAGACAGTTGAACTCATGGCCCAATCAGAGTATTTTGTGAACTGTTAATTTTGCTGACCCATGTCTAACTTTGTACTATTCTGTCGAGTTTATCTTATTTATTGATTTTCATCTGTATTTTCCTACCTGGTTAAGTAGCCAATTAAATTCTATCTTTGTGCCTATGCTCGGTCTATCTCTCTTAAACGCTCTCTGTTTTATGCCATACCTTACTTGGGTTCATTCTTCTACTGACTGCTTACCTGAACGGTCGTGTCTGGTTCCGGCTAGTTCGCAATTTTGGTTTTAACGTTATTCCGCTCTGATAGCGGTACCTTGCTTTCTGTTAAGCATTGTGCTTTGTACTCTTGAAACCGTTAAGGTTTGTTGTATATATAATTATTGATTTGTTTATTAATAGTACCGTAGAAACAGTGACCGGCTTCTTGTTTGTTCTGGACCGGGATAGCCTTTATCTACGCGTGACTTAATTTCAAGCGATATTGCGCTTACAGTACTTAACGTTACAGAGGAGACCGTACTGAACTGATCAGTACTTAACGAAAGAGGAATTGTCATTGAAGAAAATCCCGTACTGAACTGGTCAGTACTTAACGCTAAAGGGATCGAGACCGTACTGAATTGGTCAGTACTCAACGTCAAACAGGATCGAGACCGTACTGAATTGGTCAGTACTCAACGTCAAACAGGAAAGACCGTACTGAACTGGTCAGTACTGAACGTTCGTCCAGAAGAAACTGTGGTGAATTGGCCGCACGCAACGTTGTTGAAAATACACTTTTCTTTGGAACAATGCAAACGAGATCAGGGAAGCAAATTTCGGAGCAGCAGTCGGAGAGTCGGCAAGCCCCCATTTTTATAAATGATCATGTTGATAATCTTTCGTGCCCCGGCTCTCATGTCAGTAGTTCGAAATCATCATTATCGCGAATAACTAGTGCTCAGTCGTCACTTCTAAGGGCGCAGCTAAAAGAGAAACAGCTTCGACAGGAATTAGAGTTAGAGAAAAAGTTGCTAAAGGCTAGACATGATGTCGAAATGGCCGAGCTGCATGTGAAGTTAGCCACGGACGACGAACGGAACATTGAGGAATATGAAAGAGGCAGTGTCATTGATAACCGGGAGCAGCTAGAACGATATGTGAAAGATTGTGCCGCAATGGCTGGCGGGGACGCTCCTGTTACGGTCAGGAAGAGCGCGGTCGTAGAGAAACTTGACATGCCTAAGGTTGAAAGCGGGGACGCTCCTGTTACGGTCAGGAAGAGCGCGGTCGTAGAGAAACTTGACATGCCTAAGGTTGAAATGTCCTATTTTGATGGTAACGGTACTGACTACTTGAGATTTACCAAGGAATTCGAGTATTATGTCGAGAATAGAGTAAAGGACCCTGGTCAAAGAATGTTATATCTGTTGCACTATTGTAAAGGTAGAGCTAAAGCAGCCATACAGGAATGTGTGATCTTGCGTCCTGAGAGTGCGTATGCGCGAGCTAAGGGTATCTTACAGGATCTGTTTGGGGAGATCCACGTCATCGCACGAAACCGTATTGAAGACATGATTAGAAGCCTACGACCTGTGGCAGAAGATGGAGAATCTCTATCCCGTCTATCAATACAGCTTCAGAATTGCCTGATTGCCCTAACTGAAATGAACTATTTGTCGGACTTAAATTCCGTAACAACTCTCGAGAGAATAGTACGCATACTGCCGATAGCAGTTCGAAGGAATTGGGCCCGACTAGCAGACGCAAAGAATCAAGAAGGGCAAGAGCCATCTTTTCAGGATCTTTGCCAGTTTGTTTCTACAGAGGCAAGAGTGGCACGAAGCCGATACGGACACCTCGTTTCAGAGGGCTTTAACCGTCCGAACGCCCAAGTTTCACTAAATAGACAGGGTCGTCGTGAGGGCACATCATTCGCAATACAGGGAGAAAGGACCCCTGCACCCAAGCGACTGTGTATCCTCTGTAGGTCTGACCATGCTACTGCTTCATGTCAGAAGTTCGTTGGATTAGATGTGCGAGACAGATGGAGCTGCGTCCGCCGCCAAAGAGCATGCTTTTTGTGCCTAGAGGTCGGACATCGTATCGATCATTGCGTATCGGGTATAAAGTGTTCCAGAGCTCATTGCAGTGGTAAACATCACCCACTGCTACATGTTGAACCGATCGTAAACCAAGTGGCAGAGCAGGCGACATGTGCTGCTACTATGCATTATGGAACAGCAGTTATGCTAGGTGTGATCCCCGTCAAGGTGCGGGCCCGCGGTAAGGAAATATATACTTATGCATTTCTGGATAACGGCTCCGACGTTACCTTAGTTACGAAGGATCTATTGAGCAGCTTAGGCCTAGAGGGCACACCAGCGTCTATGACCTTGACAACAATCAATGGTGCGAGTCAGGTCCAGGGCAACATGTGCGAACTAGAAGTCGCATCAATGGATGAAAATGAAGTGATAAGACTTGACAGAGTGTTCGCGTTGCCATCCCTGCCGGTCAATGCACCCTCACTATCGATATCACGAGAGGCCCGTCGCTGGCCACATCTCCAGGAATTGCCATTCCGCGAACTTGATGATAAAAGGGTCACAATGCTCATAGGCTGCGATGTTCCCGAGGCGCATTGGGTCCTCGATCAACGGTTGGGTAGTCGCAAACAACCTTACGCAATAAAGACATTGCTCGGTTGGGTCTTGCTAGGGCCACTTCATCGAAATACGAAAAGAGGCACTGTCAACTACGCTCGAATCAGTGAAGAGAGTATCAAAGACGACATCAGAAGGTTATATGAAGCTGAGTTTAAGGATACTGAAGAAAATGAACACTCATTTTCTATCGAGGATCGTAAGGCAATCGAGTTGGTTACTCGAAGCACCGTCTTAGAAAAGGGGCATTACATCATTCCCTTGCCATGGAAAGATCCAGCAAAGGTAATGGACAATAATTATGTAGTCGCCATAAATCGGTTACTCAGTCTGAAACGGAGGTTATCGCGTGACAAGAACCTTTTAGCACGATATGTGGATGGGATGAATACGATGTTAAAAAATGGTTATGCCGTTCCAGTACCCCCAGAGCAATTAGCAGCCAGCTATCGCCCGAGGTGGTATCTTCCACATCATCCCGTAATGAATCCGAAAAGGCCAGATAAACTGAGAATAGTTCTAGATTGCGCCGCAACCTTTAGAGGTTATTCTTTGAATGATAAGCTATATCAAGGACCTGATACGATTGCCGAGCTTGTTGGTGTTCTGTTGCGCTTTCGAGAAAAGCCTATTGCTGTAGTCGCGGACATAGCTGATATGTTTATGCAAGTGAAGGTGCCAGTAGACGATCGAGGGGCATTACGATTTCTGTGGTGGAAAAATGGTCGTCTGGACGAAGAGCCGCAGGAGTTTCAGATGACAGCGCATCCATTCGGGGCAACTTCATCACCCTTCTGCGCGAACTTTGCGTTGAGAAAAGCAGTAGAGGACTTTGGTTGCTTATATCCGAAAACAGTAAGAGATATAGTACGACACAACTTTTACGTCGACGACTGCTTGGCATGCTTTGAGGATGTTGAGGCAGCCAGTAGGTTTATCACTGACGTAAGTGATCTGCTAAGTCGAGCAGGTTTCCGACTGCATAAATGGATTGCTAACCGGGAAGAAGTATTAAAATCGGTAACGCCAAAGGAGTCTACCCCGACGTCTCGACTCATCAATGGAGACGCAGTGAAGGTAGAACGTACGTTGGGTTTAGAATGGAACTCGGAGGTAGATTGCTTTGTTTTCCCCTTCAAAATCCCGCAAAAACCTATCACGAGGCGTGGCATTCTATCAGCAGTATCTTCTATCTTTGACCCACTTGGGATACTGTCGCCACTGTTGCTTCCGGCAAAGTTGATGTTACAATCACTCTGCAAACAAAATATGGGATGGGATCAGTCATTGTCCCCACAAAACGAGGAAGCCTGGCAGAGTTGGATAGGCGCCGTGGAGAGAATAGTGGCTTTGAGAATTCCTAGATGTATTGGACCTAGTTTCGACTCTGAAAACTGCACCCAACAGTTACATATACTATGTGATGCGTCAGAAGTAGGGTACGGAGCGGCTGCGTATGTGCGAGTACAATCGAGTCACAACAAGGTTTATTGCAATTTACTCTTTGCCAAGGCTAGAGTCGCCCCGCTGAAGGCCGTAACCATTCCACGCTTAGAACTAGTAGCGGCAGTGTTGGCAATCAGGCTGTACGAGATTATACGTCGTAATACAACCGTGAAATTTAAATCCGTATGTTTCTGGACGGACTCAATGACAGTATTATATTACATACGTGATACGTCCACTAGGTTCAGCACCTTCGTAGCAAACCGACTAGCCACCATACACCGTTACTCAGAGCCCAAACAGTGGTACCATGTACCAACCAGAGATAATACAGCCGATCTAGCATCGCGTGGCACGTTAAAACTTGAACAACTACAGCGTTGGTTGGAGGGTCCGAGATTCCTATCGAAAGAAGAACATCAATGGCCGCATGCAGAGCTATGCTGTACTCCTGAAACAATAGAGTTGAAGAAACAAACAGCCGCAGTACGAAGTCTTGTTCGACCAGACTGCATCACCAATCTGTTGAGACGATACTCTAAATGGACGCTCTTAGTGAAGTCTTTTGCATGGATCCTTAGATGGAAAGCCTTCCTAGTTGAAAGGTTCAGAAAAACGGGAAAGGAAGTAGCGGTAAGAGGATTATTGAAACTATCAGAAATGAGGCACGCAACTCTAGAAATTATACGATCTGTTCAGAGTGAGGTCTATTCGAACTTCGATGAAATAGGGACGAACAAGAACTGTAAGGGCGTTGATTCTCTGAGAAAGCTGTGTCCGATTGTAAAGAATGGAGTCTTATGTGTAGGAGGTCGTCTTTCGTACGCGGACATTTCCATGGCAAATAAGCACCCAGCAATCCTCCCTTCGAAACACAGAGTTACCGAAATATTGATTCAGCATTATCATACCACAGAGGGTCACTGCGGAGTGCATCACGTTCTGGCGTCTTTGCGTCGCACCTTTTGGATTGTTAAAGGTGTCTCCACTGTTAAACGAGTTATTGGGCAATGTGTCGAATGTAAGAGGAGGTCTACGTTAACTTGTGAGCAGCTCATGGCTCCTCTACCCATAGCGAGAGTGCAAGAAGGATGGTATCCATTCCAGTTCGTTGGAGTAGACTACTTTGGACCATTTTTTGTTAAGCGGGGTCGAGGAAAAGAGAAGCGATATGGCTGCTTATTTACGTGTCTACAGATTCGCGCTATACATCTTGAGGTAGCACATTCCTTAACGACTGAATCATTCATCATGTCGTTATTGCGGTTTATAGCTAGACGGGGGACCCCTACAGATATCTACAGTGATAATGGGACCAACTTTGTCGGCGCAAACAGAGAACTGAAGGAGCTAGTGAATGGATGGAATCAGAAGAAGATTAATGATACTCTTTTGTCCAAAGAGATACAGTGGCACTTCCAGCCTCCAAATGCGAGTCATAGAGGTGGAGTGTGGGAGCGAATGATTAGATCAGTGAGAGCTATTCTTCAAGCATTATGCAACGAGCAGAATCTAAGTGATGAAACTATATTGACGTTTATGGCAGAAGTAGAACGCATATTGAATGATCGGCCGCTTGTACCATCAACATCGGATAGTAGAGATAATCTAGCTCTCACGCCAAATCACCTACTACTGGTCTGTCGAAACATTAGTATGGAGACTCCATCAGATACTGTCCATGTATACAACTCCGGATGGAAGCAGGCTATGCATCTAGCAGCTTCGTTTTGGCGGAGATGGAAGCGAGAATATCTACCCTTACTTCAAACTAGACAGAAATGGATCACAAAATCCAAAAATCTATCCCCGGGGGATGTGGTGTTGATTGCGCCAGAATCTTCGACAAGAGACCGTTGGCCGCTAGGAGTTATTGCGGGATGCGAGGAATCCGCGGACGGACTTGTCAGAACGGTTACAATAAGAACGAGAAACGGCGAGGTGAAGCGCGATATACGTAAGATATGCCTACTAGAGGGAAGTCATTTGTAGGAGAGCCGGGCACGAGGGTTATTCTGTATAACATGATTCATAAAATCCTAGTCGGATTTTGGGGGCCGGTGTAAGATCAATTCTATTCCCATCCTTGAATCAAGGCAACCTGTCCCGGATCAGCCTAGCGTTGTTGCAACCCAATTATCTATGCCTAACGTGTCTATCCCCTCTTGTTTAATGAACTGTGTATATGTGTTTTTACCTCGATCCGTTTAGTCAGACAGTTGAACTCATGGCCCAATCAGAGTATTTTGTGAACTGTTAATTTTGCTGACCCATGTCTAACTTTGTACTATTCTGTCGAGTTTATCTTATTTATTGATTTTCATCTGTATTTTCCTACCTGGTTAAGTAGCCAATTAAATTCTATCTTTGTGCCTATGCTCGGTCTATCTCTCTTAAACGCTCTCTGTTTTATGCCATACCTTACTTGGGTTCATTCTTCTACTGACTGCTTACCTGAACGGTCGTGTCTGGTTCCGGCTAGTTCGCAATTTTGGTTTTAACGTTATTCCGCTCTGATAGCGGTACCTTGCTTTCTGTTAAGCATTGTGCTTTGTACTCTTGAAACCGTTAAGGTTTGTTGTATATATAATTATTGATTTGTTTATTAATAGTACCGTAGAAACAGTGACCGGCTTCTTGTTTGTTCTGGACCGGGATAGCCTTTATCTACGCGTGACTTAATTTCAAGCGATATTGCGCTTACAGTCAGTAATAACTATGGTTATAATGATAACAAAATATTGACAATAAGGTTTACGCAGGTGGCGATAAGAATAACAAAGGTAGTAATATGTGTATATGTAGACAATTCAATAAATAAATAAGTTAGGTCAAATCTTAAGTTACTTTATAATAAAGGTGAAGTGTACAGAGAATCAGAGTTTAAATAAATATCATAAATATAAGAAAAATCCCCATTTAGACATTTAGAAAACAGAAAGATTGAGCTAAGAAATACTTACTTTTCGATTAGATCCTCATCTCTGGCTCTACTCTAATATATCTTCACAACCACCCTTATTCTACGTTCAAGAAATAAGGAGAAACTACCTAAATTTGCCTCTTCTGTGTGTATCTACCAGTTTGACTACAACTGTGGAGCCAGCTACATTGGGCGTACAATTAGGCAGGTTCATCACATCGTATTTTCAAACATCATCCAACATGATTAAGCAAGGGACAAACAAGATCTATTCGTAACTCTATATTAGCCCACCTTGTAGATAGTGAGCATAAGGTTGACTTTAATACTGCATTTAAAATTATTTATCGTATTCCTACTAATCTTAATTTTTCTTTACGAGTTCGTCTTCTACATACCCTTAAAGCTGAAGCAATAGGAATCCATCTGAAGAAGAAGCCGAACCTGTGTGTGTTCAGAAGAAATTTGTGCAGCCACTTTCCTTACCTTGACCATCGTTACATGAATGTATAAACCGGATTACTTCATCCCCCTTCCCTATGAACATTTAAAAATTATAAAAATTATTGTCTAAATTATTTTATTTATTTTTTCCTGACGACTTCGTCCTTAATTACATGTCATCCTTGTAAAATTAATTCATTCTAACCATTTCCATCTTTTAATTATGTGTATTAATTAATTCTTCGTTAATTATCACCGGCCGCATTGACATGTTGACACTGACTAATTATTGTTAACAAACATATCCGTGTCACTTGATTCGTAAGCTGTTGTGTATTGTAATAATAAAAATGTTATACAGAATATATTAGAGTAGAGCCAGAGAGAGATGAGAATCTAATTGAAAAGTAAATATTTCTTCACTGAATCTTTCTGTTTTCTAAATATCATAAAAGTACGAATGAAATGGAAAATAAGAAATGATGGGAGGGTTTTGATTAGAATATACCCTAGGCCAAGGGAGAGAAAAAGGTAGAACGAACTTCTTTTGTATGCAAAGATTAGGATTGTTCTCTCTAATTCTCGTCGCTTCGTCTATAGGTAAAAGGCAGGTTTGAATTCCGTTCGATAGGCTTGGTGGAATGCTATAGATAACATTGAAGGCACTGTTTTTGTCCACTTGGTGGCCAGTGTCAACCAAATGAGCCAAAATAGAAATTTTTACAGATTCTATTCTACCTTTTTCGAGCTACGAAGGAAGATGCTCATTGATACGTTTGTTGGGCTGTCTAGTTGTTCGCCCTACATAGCTTTCTCCGGAGGAGCAACTAAATTTGTAGATACACACACACAGAAATGACACATCTAGGAGGCTTGTCTTTCGTTTGGCCGATCACAACAGGTCGGTTGAAAAATTAGAAACAAAGGGTGGTGGTGATATAAGTCAGTTTTATTGCTCTCGATTGTCTCAGATATAAGACTCCACTACCTACGTCCCCATTAAATTGCAGTTTCATAAACAGTTACTTTTTTAACTGTTGTCAGTTTCTCTTCATTATACCTGGTGTTCACGTGTCTCCTTACAAATGTACTAGGACAACCCATTTGGACCAGCGTATTTTAGGTGTATCCTAACTCATTTTCTAGGGAGTCATCTGTATAGATCCTTATTTTAATTGTACACTAGTAACTAGTGTGATGTGTCTAGTCCTTTTTTTGGTGCAGACTGAATTCTATCAGTCAGGTTTGTATTGTGGCCACCATTTTAGGCAGCTCGCCATCACGCCATATCATCAAATTAATGTTCACCGTGATGACAAGCTGCCTAGAATGGTGGCCACAATACAAACCTGACCAATAGAATTGAATCTGCACCAAAGAAAGGACTAGATACATCACACTAGCTACTAGTGTCCAATCGAAATATCCACTACAGTCCTACAGGAGGTCAGTCACGAGCCCCAATAGCTCAGTGATAACGTCTCTGACTGCAGCACCGGGTGACGCGGTTTCGAATCTCAGAAGGGATATGAGTTCCTTCAAGGTTGCAGATACGCCTTGCTGACTTGTGAGTGCCAACTAGGATGAAACCTAGGTGGAAGGCCCCCTGCCGATTGCCTCCAACCATCTAGTACAGATCCTCTTTACTCTATTCGTGAGTCATCTGGCCAAATTGATTTTATATCGGATTGATACAAAACTGAAAAAAATGTGTACATTCTCCTAAAGATTAGGGTTTTCTATAGACATCTCTTTTGAGTGAACTATCTGGTCTCTCTTCTACTCAATTGGACATCAAGGAAGTGCAGTCAACCAACATGTTCTACTTCACGAGTAAAGATGAGCGATGGATGGATGTGCATCAGAGATCACTTCCACCCTGTTCACCCTGAAGTCCCTTCCAGTTGGATAATTGACTACCTACAAGATTTCATCATGAGCTGACATTAGTTGAAGAACCTTTGGAAAACCTGGGAGTACTGAACAACTGTTTCCTAGGTTCTAATTTGGGACTCTTCATCAGTACGCGCCGGCCGGGACTCAAACCCAGGACCTTATAGTTACAAGGCTAGCGATTTAGTAGACCATTATGCCACTGGGACCCAATCCAATGGTCCATGAACTCTAACTTTGGCCAATTTATGACATAGGGCAACGGCTAGCCTATGTCTTACGACGAGTATTTTTCCTCACACCCTACCTGCTGCACCCTACTGGTCACAAATACCTACCAGGTGTCATATCCCACGTAAACGGTCGCTTTCATATCACCTCGAGAACCAGGTTCAACTCATGGTTTCCCGTTCTGGTTCTACTCGAGGCATGGACACATGATATGATCCAACAATCTTTTAATCAGTGGGTTAATAGGTTGTGAGTTGGTTCGTGACCAGAGTGCCTTCTTGTTATATACTCTTTCCAACTGGTTCTTTCATCTTCACTGTAGGCAGAGGGTATGTTTTTAAAAGTATGTAACTTATTTGAAACGCATGCCAGAGAGATATGTCTGAAAGCCATATAGAAGCATTAACTGCAATGAAGTTTGTTTTGAAGATCCACGCTTGGTTTACATAGTGAACTCGTGCTATCCAAATCTAGCGAATATTCTCATGAAGAAATGTGTTTAGACGACTAGAATAGATGGAGAGTGAAGATTATTACGTACAGATAACTTCTTCAGCTAGCTGCATAATTCAACAGTCGTTTCCTTATTCCTTTGTTTTCTGAACGGCTGAATGGGAAATTTTCGCCTAAAATAGTGGGCGTTAAGGAAATTCTATGACGCTTTGAAATACATGTTCAAGGATCAGTGGAATAAAGACTTCTGTAGACTTCATTCTCCAGTGCTGCTTGAACTACGGAGCTAGGTAAGGATGTTGTCGAAATGCATATTCTTTGTGCAGTTCTAGTGTCACAATGCTTGTTTAGAACAGAATTTACGCAATGTGTAGTATAGTGTAATCCATAAAAATGCACAGCGATACAGTAATACTTACTGACGGCGTTTTAAACACAATTCTGTGCTCATGATGATAGCAGAGATATGATATGATTATGAGCAAAAAGTCATAATAGAAATGGCATCTGTAAATACATACTGACTCCGTAGTACTATGTGTTTGTATGACATGAAATTATTGTATGATAGGTGAAGCAAAGTTTCTCCAATTACAGAGGCGGAACATTTTGAACTCGTTAGTTACCAAGCATACATCCTAAAATATCAGTTTAATATAGCAGTAGAGGGAACATTTCCTACAGCTGAAGTGCTACTTAGATTCTCAGCTAAACCAGTACTCACACACAACGAGTGATGGGTAAGTTACCAAATATGGCCTCATCAAGGTGTATGTATGAATTCAACTTCTCATGTGGAGCTAGTTATATTGGCCTTACTCAGTGGGGTTTATACACTCGCGCATTTGAATATGAATACATGCCAGCGAGATTTTCAGAAGGAGAACACAGAACAGTCAACAACTAAGTTGTGGAGTGTATCATTACTTCTGATCATGCACCGTCAACAGAGACTCCGTTGTGCGTCATATATATGATCTACGGTTAACTCGTTCTTAGTTATTTCGCTTGCATCTTCGTGCAGCTGAAGCTTTAGCTATCCATAAGGAAATTCTCAAACTGTGCGTTCAGTGGCTCAGCGGTTAGGATTCTCGCCGACTATGCAAATTTTCGGGGGTTCGATCTCCTACCAACGGACACCTGATTATTAATCGGTCAGCCTGCAAAATTCGGGCTACCGATATCACAAGCTGAAAATGCTATACTTGTATAAACCAAACGACGTGGAATCGAGCTATAATGAAAAATTTCGAAATAAAACCCAAACTGTACGTTGAGAACAGTTTTATCCAGCCTGTTATACTGCCATGGATTAAGTAATAATATGTTTTCCTGAATAACAGTGTAATTACTTCATTGTGATCCTATGCTCTCTAGTCTTGAGTCAATTATTTCAAAACGATTACTCATCACTCAACTAATAAATTGTTAATCCCCGTGATTACATAAGAGTATTTTCAATTTCTCGAATATTGTTGTTCCTTATCCACTTAGATTCACTTTCTGACTAATAGACAATGAACCATAACCTGTGTTGTCAGTCTACATCTGATATATAATCACCCTGAATAAGTGTAGAGCTTCAGAGTGCAGTTACTAATCAGGATAGATCTTTTTGATGACTTATGTATATTTAATCTCAGTGAGTCGAATTCCGGCTAGTAAACTTGTCGCTGAACATCCCTTCAACTCCATCTGCTATACAGCTGAGCGTTATTTCGGATCACTTAAGACATATATGTATATATAAGACGTCTGTTAACCTCAGAGATTATCATGAATGATATTTCAGCAAACGTTATCGACAGTGTATTAAACATCGCTTTGAAAGTGATCACATTGCAACGCACTGCTCAGCCCTACCCGAATTCATCCTAGAATGTGAGTAATGTGTATAATTGTCTTTATTTGGTCATTTTGTGATCAGATCACATGAAACACCGAAAATGTTATCACTTATTGACAAGAAGGACATTTTTTACCATACATTGTATGTGGTAAATGAGGTGTCCGAATTTTTAAAGCCCTAAAACCTAACAATATAATCAATTCTTTTCCCTAATTAGTATATATATCTGTAATATATATTTATCCTGGTGTTGACAGAAATGCTCAGTTATAAAGCATAATATTTGTACGCCTTTGAAGAATGAGGTTAACTGACAGTGACTATGATTGTTTGATATAAACACTGTGAGTTATTGTCAGTAAATCAAAAGTGGATCTACTGCGAGAACTTTGTTTACATACGCGTGAAATATATACAAAGATACACAAAGAGGCAGTATCCTTGGGATAATGGTCACTGAGTCTTCGCTGTTCTTTTGTGCCTTCAGCTTATAATGCTCGAGCCATAAGAAATATCAAACTTCATTTATGAAATTCGTTTTACCTTATTCCCCTTATTTCCGCTTTCTAATGTATATACACACATATATATATGTATATGTGATTGTTGGGTTATTCTAAATGCTTCGTAGTCACGAGAATTGGAGCTTAGTGGAATACAAATATATATTCAAATAAACTTAAATAAATATTTATGAGCTTTATGCTACGAATAATAAGCATGAATATGTAACTTTGGAATATCGTGTTTTCCCATTTCTACTCAAATATGACTCGGTAATCAACCTTCATCTATGGTGTAAACAAATGTATTATTCTTGTCATTCATTTTTGCTAGTAATTCAAACGAAATTTACTCATTTTATGCATTACAGAAATGGAAGTTATTTACTCCATTTTGAAGATCTCCAAGTGATATAATCATCGATTATGCATCACTTGAAGCAGTATTTATCCCTCCCTAAAACAAA